ATTTGTTCATGTGCGTGCATGAGTCGATATGGTGGTAAAGCAGAGGTGGTGGCAAGGTTGAAGGTGTTGCAGGTGGTGACGACTCTGTCGATAGCATTTCTGCCAAATTTTGTTGGAGATGGGTTTATCATGGTATTTCAGAGTAAGGGTTAAATAGTAAATGTGTCTTTAAATAGTGTGTCCTTTTCTCCTCAATTTGGTGTGGACTTGTGACCAAATTACCCTATAATCTATTATACGGTATTTCAAGGAACTATTGACGTATACTTAAGCAAGAATTCGATAAGAGGATTATTCATATTGGCTTGAAAATCATTTGCACAGACACACAGGCAACACAGAACCTCAAGAGCTGCTTGAAATTAATGCAGATATTCAATCCTCACATTGTAACCCTGAAAATTTTATGATGCTTCATTTGCTGCTCTATAAATTCATCCCACAAACTCCATAATTTGCTAGGCATGCTGTCATGGGACCAATGTAAAATTCTTACACTTGGTTAAAGTTATCTTCATGATTAGGGTGAGTGGTTGGGCCATGGTCGTGGGCACCATAAGATAACTCAGTTAAAAATTTAGCCCTAGGTCCCAACAACCGGAAAAAACATCCATTACAACGGTGATAACAAGCCATCAACGTCATATGATATCACCAACTAATAAGAATGCACTATATAGAATAAGTAAACCTCATTATTACAATGTATTAGTGAGTCAATAGAGTGGTTATTGGAAGTTATTAAAATAACGGGACCCACTTATTCTATATGATGTATTCTTATTAGTTAGTAATACCATATGACACCGATAACATGGTATCACCGCTGTAATGAATATTTTCTCCAACAATTGATATTGGTAATTGCAGACCAAGGTGATGAAAAGTAGTTCTATTGTGACTTTGCATCATGGATTCAAACCACACATAAGCAATCTTTTTGTATGTGGAGTAAAGTTACATAAATTTAATCCATTCTAGATTAACGGAATTTTGCATACAATGGACTGTCTTTTTTAAATTGACAGGCTGAACATGGAGGGAAAAGTGACTGCCAGGGCATGCAAACTTTATTTTGTAAAGAGTTTCCCTCCTTGTTTCACCAATAGCTTTTGCTTTGGTCATTATCACACTTGTCCTCCACCGTCGTCAGACCAATTTAAAACAACAGGTTTCTCAGACCCCTCGTCTTCTCCCACAATGCAGCCCTTCTTAGAAGTCTCAAAGGCAAACAGAGGGAGGGAAGCTTCCCTTATCACAGCCAAACAAAACACACAGCTCTTTTATCCCTGTAAGTAATGCATAACTATCCCACTTGTCTGCAAGTTCCATCTTTATACTTCAAATGTTATTCAACACTTGCATTTCTTCATATATTTTCAAGTCTATTTCTGATATCTCCCGTTTCCTTAATTTACTATATCTGTACTAAGCAAGTAGCTAAATTTTGTTTCGAAACGTTCGAAATATTTCCTTTTTCGTAGAAATCGAAACGAATCATTGATTGAATTTCAAAATTTCTATGTTTCGATAGCTTTCGAAGTGTTTTGACATGTTTCGACCTATGTTTTAGAATGTTTCGGTATGTTTTGAAAATAAATTTTAATTTTTTTTTTGTTTCCATCTTGTTTCCGAAATATTACCAAAACGTTTTCATTTTCAATCTCACCGAAAACTATGCACCGAAACAAAATTTTGATCCTTGTGTCTGTTTATCTGGATTTGTTCGCGGCATCCATGTCAGGCAAGTAAATAGTGAATAAGCAGATGGGTGCACACGAACCACATCAAATACTCCACCCCAATAATTATGAGTTACATTGCAGAAAAAACTCGAGATAAAACAAGAAACACTAGGACAAACTTATTCTATACTATGCACACCTAGAAAAAACATTCAGGACTCCAATGCAACTGGATGATCCTCCTCTACTCCCTCATTTTCCCTTTTTTCTCCCTTCATTTCAATCTTTTCTGCAAGGAGAATATTGGCGAGGTGCCAATGTATAATTACACTGAAAGGTAGGGAGTTGTACTCCAGCTCCTGTACAAAACCCCAAATCAAGACCAAAAATTTATGGGAGAACAGAATCCTTATCCGAAACCCACAAGAAGAGACGAAGGAATTAGACACAACAAAAAAACACACACACACTGGACATCAAAGTGAGTATTATGGCTGGTCACTGTAAAGAATGCAGATCATAATGTTAGACCTGTCAAGGAGTACTAGAATGCACCATGAGATTCTAGGTTGAAGGGCAGATCTTTGTTGGCCTCTATAGGAAAACTCAGGCTAGCATAACTGCTATCTGAAGAAAAGAACTTCAAAGGACAAGGTGAAAACTCTACAGATGATGAGAACTTATGTGAAAACTCTACAGATGATGAGAACTTATGTAAAAACTCTGCAGATGATACCTACAGAATTCTGTATGTGAGATATATAAGTAATGTAGGTCATAGACTATGCAGAAGCGCCCTTTTGCAGGGTGGACCTTGTGAAGGGATGGTGCTTGGGATTGGAGATGTGGAGTCCATTCCTAGTGTTTTCAGTAGGAAGTTCCTCTCCTGAACCATGAATAAAAAAGTATGTCATTAGTATTGCGTCGAATTTGGCATCAAACTATAATCGATTGACTTTACACACCCAAAAGAAACAAGAATGGCTAGAGTAAAAGTAAAGAATGACCATCCTTTTAATTTAGGGAGTCAATCAATGCAACATCCAGAGAGCTCTTAAAATTAACCATTTTTGACTTGTCAATTGTTATTCATGCTTCTTCAAAGTGCTATCTAACATAATGCTTGGATGTGATGCACTTAAACAAGTGGAATTTCTACATCATGGAAACACATGCCTAGTAACTGCAACATAAGGAGACAAATCCAGAGAACATTATGATTTGTACATCCAGAGAGCTCTTGGAAAATTAACCATTTTTGACTTGTGTGGTTCCATAGATATAAGTAGCATGTGTGGTTCCAAAAGTATTAAACAAGAAAAGCAAAATCCATTCCTAATAATGGAATTTGACATTGTATGTAGTTTGAAGGAAAAAACACAAATGGGTGCTTCTTTAAGAAATGGGAGGGGGATATGATGGAAGAAAGGAGCAAACTTAGGGATCTTGTTATTTTACATGCATTGACATCTGAAGTTAGGCAATGAGAAACTCTAAAGAGTTGTTGTATCAAAAGATACGTAAGTCTTCATCGCGACTACACTTTCTTGATTGCCAAAACAATCCATATTGTCCCAGAAAATATACAGAGAAAATGCACTTTTCCTGTGATAAGTTGTTAATCGATAACTAAAAGTCTAAAACAAATAATAGGAATTTGTTGATGGATAACTAAAAGTCTAAAAAAAATAATAGGAATTTGTTAATGGATAACTAAAAGTCTAAAATCTGAAAAATTACAGGGATTGTTTACTGATAAACCATGAGTTAGTTAGATTGATTACATGCAGACCTCCAACACCAGCCCTAGGAAATTTATGAAGAAAGGTCTAGATATTGTTAATGAAATTCTTTGGGTCATCACTGAATTCTTTAAGGCTCAAATTACCAAGAACTCTGGAATGCATAGCATGCATTTTTGCATAAATAAGAGCAATTCAAACTGCTACCCAGTTTAAGTTCTAGCTTAGCAGAAACTACCAATCACTTAAGTTTGGTGAATTTGCAATCTCAAGCTGTGTTTGCTTGATGAGTTCTTATTTTTGTACACTTATTCTGTGAGGCTCTCTACAAGGAGGTGTACAATTGATGCTTGCATTATTTTAAATCAAGAAAAGGTAATCTGTATATCTCTTTTCTTTACGTTACCGTCAAAGTTCTACTTAATTTCTTTTCAAAAGTGAGGGTTTACTTCCGACTTTGGGTTGTCATTGTGCAAGTCAGTGGACATTTACGGAAGATTACAGGCATGGACTTGGACTTGACCAATAGCTGTAGTGAAACAAGCCTGTTGAAACTGTTCGAGTAACAGAAGTGTAAGGAAATATTTAATCAATTGCTCGAGTGCAATAAGGTTTTCACCGTCTGAATAGTCAATAGTGCTGCTGCTACTATGCTACTAATATAAATGTCTCTAAATAATACTCAAGAGCCCTATAAAATAGCAGATACAAAGTTTGCATGCTACTGCTGTCACTACTACTCATTCCTTCATTTTCTGGAGAGGTGCTTTAATTATCATTCAGGAGACACAAAGTTATAACAATGCCACTTATGGCTTAATGTTTTCTTGTTGATAAGATTGTAGCTTACTAATTGGAAAATCGAAGTCCGGGAAACTTACACTTTCGGAAAATTTTGGGCTGGGAATCCCAGCTGCCAACGATCTGAATAGTGGGGTTACTTGAATAGGGGAACTGAATTCTATGCTTGACAAGTCACGAACAGCCCCATCATTGATTTGTTTTTCTTCACAAGATGGTGAGATATTTACTGCAACAAGAAGCAGATTTCCTCATCGAAGAGTAATTCTCAGGACTAGATTAAATGAATGATGAGAACATGGTATCCAATGAGCCTTGTCATTACATATTAAAAATATTACCCTGATTTGTGGTTTCCCCTGGGAAAATTCCATTTTCACCTTCGCCAATACAAGTTTGCTCTACTAAATGAACTGATTGTAATTCAGGTCCTAGATCATGAAGTAGTCCACATAGCTCAGGTTGACTTTGTTCTGTTTTACCACCAGCTGTATGGGGCAGGAAAGTTGATCCAGTACTAGGACCAGAGCTGCCTGGGGACTCCTGACATGAATCAGGTTGCCTGCATTAACATAATCAGACATTTTATGCATGATAAACTCTTCTTGAGTCTAATCTATGTCTGGCTCATATTTATTACCTGCAACACAAGTGACTTTCCTTGTTACTACTCCTTAATTCCTCTACCAAACATTTGAAGTTCTCGAGTTCAAAATTCATATCAGGTAGTTTGAATCTGATCATGTCACCATTGGTGGTTTGATTGAGAAAATCTTGGAGGACCTGTTTATCATATGATGCAATATTAGACACTGGAAAACTGTGTGGCCACACTATATATCATGTAGCTCCTTGAGCTCTTGGAGCAGCAGTGCTCTGTGCATGAGGCACCTATCTATAGAATTTGACAGCCTTAATTCAACCTCTCTCTCGAGGATAAGATGCTATTGACTTGACTTAAATCTTTAAATTGTGTAACCCAAATATCAACCTTACTAGATTTATTTGTTATTTTTTGAGCAAACTGCACGAGATGATTATATCTATTATCGAGGATTGCATGAACTAGAAAGGAAAGATAATTGATTTTCCATGAACTAAGTCGTGCATTTTGCTTACTTAGAGCACTCTCAGACAAGCACAAGATAGTTGAAACCTAGCAAATAAGATAGGTAATTTTCTCACCTTCCAAGCATTTTCAAGACTCTGATCTGTGTTCTCTGAATTTACTTTGTACGCAAGCGAGCTGAGTAGTTCTGCTTGTTGCATCAACGCAAATATCCTTGGATCATCCTTCTTAACAAATCCGTTAATCTTGTCATTACTAGCTCCTTTTGGATACAAAAAAAAAAACAAAAAATATTAACTTTCTATTGGTTTAATCAAGGATCATAAATACTCGAGAACAGCAAAAGTTTTTGCTGATTTATTGTTCTCATATATTTTCTTTTGATGTGATCTTCAGATCATGAATGAGGATCAAGTATAAATTTATGGCAAAGAAGTAATATTGAGATGACTTACCATCATTGAAGGTCTCCTTCTTGATTACTTGATGCTGACTTGGCAAGTTACCTACATTGTGAAAGTTTTGAACTAGCACTGCAAATGGAGGTCTTAGCTGCTGATTTGTTGTTCCACATTCCTTGTGTAGTCTTTCTCCCTGATTGCAATTTTCTGTGATATCAGAGTAGTTGATCCTCCTAAATCATAACAACCTGTGGTTAGAGTAACACTTTCGCCCTATTGACAATTTTATGGAAACTTGAAACAAAATCAATTATACCTCATCTTCTTATGGGGCGCTGCAGTGTCTGATATTCCGTCTATATTGAACTTGGTGAATATGACCCTTTTATTGTTCAGGTTAATGTATGAAGTGTTGTTCTCTTTTGCTAACCCCTCATGCTTTGCTCTTTTCTTGCATAGGGTGGAAAATCGATTTTTCACAGCATTATCCGTTCTGTATAAGCAGCGATAGAAAGAAATTCCATCGTACTCATTGCAACCTTCTTACTTTAAAAATAAAAGACAAATTATAAGAGAACTTTAGTTACCTGCCTGAAACCACCTTTGCTATTTCAGTCCATCTGTTGCCAAATATTTTCTGCGCCTGCATATAATGTGGCATATCAGATCACCACACACATTAATGAGTCGTGTACAATGGTTATACTAATTGAAATGTGGTGATTCTGTCTTTGAATTTTTGAAGGACAAGACACATGAATATGCATTAGGTGTGCCTCATTTACAATTTTTCTGTTTTCCCTAAGACTTCAAACTTGATGCCATCAAACAAAATTTGCAAAAAAAGACCAACTGAAAATTCAAAAAAGAATAGTGCACGATTGCCCCAACTGAATAACTTTCTCATTGATAACTGAAAATATGGAGGCACATATTGGAGGAGTTGAGAATTTTGCAATTAACCTGGGGAGAGCATCAAATTTACCTCACACAAGAGCATGTCTTCTTCTGGAGACCATCCCCCTTTCTTGAAATCTGAATTCAAATAAGTATACCATCTGCAAAACCATAATCACATTCACATCAAATTACACTCTAACAAAATTGGAGAAAAAAGATTTGGTAAGATGATTGGATCTAAGAATTTGAAAAAAAAAAAAAACAGAGAATAAAAACAAAAATCAATTTCTGTAATTAACCTTCTTCTGCATTGCCTGGTTGTTTTATCCTTGAACTTCGACGCAACGATAGCCCAACTGCACCCATGTATTACAATCCAATAAATCCCTCAACCCAACAATACTGATCAGACAACCTCCAATTGCAATAAACTATCATCAAAAATAAAACTCAATAATTGTAGTGAAAAAAAAAAGGATACTTTTGTGTTCCATGGATATGTATTTGCTCCCGTAGTATATCATCTTCCTGCAAAAGAACTCACATCAGATGCAACTACTAGAAAACAGAGGACTACAAAGATAAAGAAAGAGACCTCTTGTGACCACGAAACAATATGTCTCTCCTTCTGTTTCGGGACTTCACCATTGTCATTGGACGACTTCTTCATGTTCTGCATGGTTTAGCCCTTTCTTTAACACCGCGCTTCAGTCTCTGGCATACTAAAAGTAAGAGCCTTTTGGTGTCTTTTATATACGAAAAAGGAACCCCTTCAATTACTCCCCACTCTTTCGTCTTTACACATACTACTGTTTCTTCCAACGAAACAGTACAAACAACAATCGCCTCGGATTCGATCTTTTCGTTTGTCTTTTGATCAAAAAACACGTTTGTACAATCCAAATCAGGATTCACTATTCAAACAAACCAAAATTTTCACTTGAAATTGCAATCAAAACTTATAACTCTGTCCTCGAGATTTGAGAAAGAGGCTTTCGTATTGCTGAGTATGTAAAGATCTGAGAATCGGAGCTTACGAGTATTTTTTGGAATTTGGTAGCATTATCTTCAAGAAATACGATCGGAAATCGGAGAGAGTGTGTTGAATGATGATGATCGGATTGGGTGTGTTGAAAAGAGATTGTCTTTCTTTCTTTCTCGCCCTACCCTGAGAAAGCGGACTTTTTCTCTCTCCCTGTAGGAATCTGTTAAACAATAATCAACGGATCCTTTGCTTTTGAGCGCGGCTATGAAGGCTGGTTTGAAATGCAACGCTGAAATCCACGAGACTATCATTAATGGACACTCACACTCCCTCTCACCTTTGCCATGCCTGTGAATCGTGTTGAATTTTAATGAATTTGTATTAAAAATATATTTTATTTATATTTTATTTATTTATTAATTTGTGTTTAACAAATTGTGTTATATCAAATTTATGTCGTATATAACTGATATATAAATAAATCGTTTGATATATATATGTTTTTTAATTGATTTTGTTCATACCAGATCCGTTTATAAAATGATTGATTTAAAAAATATTCAAATCCTCTAATTTTATATCGTATTTGTATTATACTGTTGTCGCCACCCCTATAACCACTACCACCATCACCGTTATCGCCACCCCACAACTACCTTTGCCACAACAATATTCACCATTATCGCCACCTCACTATTATCACCACCACCCCTAACACTGTTGTCGCCAGCCCACCACCACCACCCCACCCCTCCACCACCACCACTCCCACCATCATCGCTATCACCACCCCTACCATGATCGTTGCCACCACCTTTCCGCCATCACCACTACCACCCTTCCCCCTACCGCCCCACCACCACAATAATCACCACCATCAATGCCGCTACCTTACAACTGTCGCCACTGTCCTACTAACTCCACCCCCACCCCTACCCCTACCCCCACGATCATAACCACTATCACCATCACCATTATCACCTAACCCACCACCGATTGTTATCACCGTCGTCCACTGGGCACCACTTATCACTATCGTCATCTCATTCTTATATTTATTACTACTACTATCATCATCCCACTACCATGTCGCCCACTTTCAGCACCCCACCACCATCCGTTATCATCCACCATCGCCGCCAACCATTATCACCCACCACCACCACCACCACCGTCGTCGCCCCAACACCACCACTGATAACCACCATCATCGTCGCTTACCACCACCCACACCCGCCACCATCACCACAGTCACTCATAGCTACCACTACTACTATCATCACCCAAAACTCACCACTATCACCGTTTCTACCCACGACTGTCATTATTACCACGGTCATCGTCATCCACCACAATCATCACTGTCTCTTACAACAACCATCACCGTTTTCCACTACCCACCTCTACCACCACTCACACCCAGTATAACCGGTGCTTAAATTCTGTTCTCTTTCCTTTTTGTTTGTGATTTGACTTTGGGTATAAATAGAAATATATTTATTATTGATTATTTTTTTTATTACTCAGTGTCTTTAGACACAAGAAATAACTTGTCTTAATATACTATAAAACAATAAAATTAGGGATCAGAGGCTTTAAGAAGGCTTTCGCCCTCCCTAAATGCTAAATTATTAGAATTTTGAAATATTTAATTAGCTAACTCCAATTACAACATTACATATGCCTTTTGTAATTACTCCCACTATTTTTTTAAATAATTTTAAAATTTAAAATTTTAATTATTTAAAATATAAATGAATATCATTTTAACAGTAATAAAAATTATAAAATTATGATAAAAAATAATAATAAATTTCGTACATCACACAAGATGCCCACAATATATTAAATTTACAATCTCTTCCCGCCGTCCACCTCTATGACCATACCTAACTGTATTTCATTTGAAACTTGTATGTGGGGGCACACCATAGCGGACTTGCAGTATAAATATTCAAGAACTCAATAATTATAGCTTAAAAGCATAGTTTCATATTAGTCTTCTATCATTGAATAGCATCATCCACCTAATGCAAATATTTCATTCCTTAGAGGGACTTGAACTTTTGTTTAATCATTAATAGAACATTATTGCATTCTTAGAAGACACTCAACTATTAAAATTTGCGATGAAAAATATTTGTTATCATTTCAAAATTGACCTCTTTAATAAGAGACTATGATATATCTCATATTAAACATTTAGGTCTATCCAAGATGGTTAACCCCATCTCGAGGGAAATGAAGGTTATTGGTTCGAATACCGTACTTAACAATTTTAATAGTAATGGAAAAAAATAAGATATGTCTTGTATTAGGTCAAATCTTATAACATAATTAATTACCCACAAAAGTGACTGTGTGCAGTGCCACGTGGAATAGAAATCCGACTGCCACGTGGCTGGAGAGTGTTGTTATATCTGTCAGTGTAGTATTGCACTTTTGAATAAATTGAAACGGCAAGCGTGTGGAGCCCAGCCAATGTGCAAGAAATTTCAATGGCCAATATCTTACTGATCTCTTTACTGATGGTGATGTCTCCCGCCAAAAATGAAGTATTGATCGTTCAATTCAAGTAACTAAACAACAAAACCCATTGTGTTCATCTTTCACATACACATAAATGATACAGGTGGGATGTACAAAAACATATGACTTTTTAAAAAGGGAATCTATGGGTACGTAACATGTAATCAAAGGGGGAATTTGAGTGCATGACACTGTTATGTCGTGAATTAAACCCACTGAAGTTTTTTTCGAAGTTCAAAAATGGTGGAGAGTCTGGAGACTGAAAGAAAAGAGTGAAGGGTCGGTGGTATTTGTCCCACTGAAAGAGGTAGCAACTAGCAAGATGACACCAAAAAAGACCATCCCTGATGGAACCCTATGTAAAAGCTTGTTACAGTACACTCCTCCCACACTCAACTTTTCAAAGTTGAAAGAAAAAAAAAAAACCCTTACATTACTCCCCTCACTCACTTAGCATTTCAAAAAACAAAAAAAAAAATCTGTACATGCATTTTTTTCGGGGTAACGGAAAATTATCCTAACCATGTACCCGTTAAATCCTTTGTTGCAACACAAATTTGGATGCACAAATCACATATCAACCACTTGCATAAGTTGAATCCATATTTTATACAACTAAGAAGTCAAATTGTGTGAATTTACCCCTCCTTTTATTCGATCACTAAACAATCTCAAGCGGGTTCCACTTGGTTCTGTCGTTATTTCTTACTTCTGTCATTTCTTCAATTTTTATGATTGAATAAGAATTATTCCTTGGTTAGCCTTTTGTCCCAAGGGTAATATAACAATAGCCATGTGTTATGACTTATGAGACTTAGAGGATTGAACACTCGGTGTTTCTTTGGGGTCTTCTATGAGGTATAAATAAAGTACATTATGTTTGAATATATTCCAAGGAATGGATTGTGGTGCCGAATGATTTAATGATGGAGAGTTGAATATGATCATAGCATTGATTTCCAGATTTTTGTACTGCAAGTAGCCACTTTTACTCATGACAAGAGAACGAGAAATAAGGAGCTAGGGAGGAATGATGAAGACAATGAGTACTTCCAGGGCATCTCTAGTTACATTTGATATCGAGGTTTGAAATCACTTTTTACTCATTACCCAAAGTTTGATTATAGTAAACTTCATTGAATATCTTGAAATAATGAGAAAATTTTGGTAGGGTAAACGGTTTAAGTGTAAAAAAAATAGTAATTGTTTAGTACTAACTAAGCAAATGAATGCCACTCAACCCCTAGGGGCGGCTTAAAAGTCAAATTTGTCCTCTTACAAATAAGAAGTCTTAGGTTTGATATTTTTCACACCTCCTAAGGATCAGCTACTCTTGTTTCTCACGAAAAATGTCCTTAAATTAGCTCGAGTTACAGTGATCAGCTCAAAATTTGAGGGAGTAATTGACGTAAGTCTGAACATAAAGAATCAAAGGCCTGTGCATTTTGATCAAAAATCCATCTCGCAGTCTTATGAGTTGGGAAGATAATAACCCTAGTCATGAGTCCAAAAGCAACTTAAGTGATAATAATGACGATCTGTAAATCTAAACTTCCTGAATTCGAATATGGACAATCTATTGAGGCCTGAGCATGAGAGATCTCTTATGAATACCTTAGTTTTGACATAAATGATTTTTCTTTGACCGAATCGGAGAAAAGATTAGTCAAGGTGCACATAAGCTAGTCCAAATACTTCTAACCATTGAAAAAAAAAACCCTAACGATGGAGTGTGAGTACGATAAGAGTAAGACTTCAATACCGAAATTATTAAAATAATTTACCACTTTTTTAGGATGTAAGTAACTATTCTTCTAAGGCTAAGTTGCAATAAAAAACTTAGAAAGTGATC